GCTTAGCATTGAGCATTTAGGTCTCAGAGGGCTAACTCATTTAATTGTTTGCATTACCAAAGGCTTCCCAAGTTTCACAGACCATGCACTACACTTACAACCTTGTGGGAAAGCAATATGAGCAGGATTTATATCATTGGTTTTCATAGAAACAAAATAGCATACTCTATTTTTTGTTCTAGTGGCTATAGTATGAGGAAAAGCATAGATAACTGAAGAAAGTGGTCTACAAGAACAATAGTGTTTTTCATGTTTTATATGGGTGTTATGCCAGTTTTTATTAATGGGAATTTTTTTCCTGTTTTTTTAATTTCTTTGACCTACATTACTAAAATTTATAGAAATACTATTATCTGTTGAATACTGATATAAAATGGCTATTTCTCTAGATACTGCTTCTTCAGAGAATTCAGTAAATATGGATGAATTACAGCTCCCTGAAGGGTTCAGGCCTGATTTTCATCCTAAGTGAGTATATTACTTTATTCCTTTTAAATTTGGCCCATTTAAAATGAAAAATTATGTCAGTGGTTAGTAGGAATATGACTTGGCAAGCTAGGAGGCAAAACGTTATAGGATATTGATCTTGAATTCTAAAGTGTAAGCATTACATGATGATATTTATTGAGGTATATTGAAAAAAATCTAATAACCAGGTGGCATGTTTAACTCTCACTACCCTCTCCTAGGCTGCGTTGCTCACTCCCACTATACCCCTTTATCTGGGTGTCTTTGACAACATCCTTGTCATCCTTTGCCTTGCAGACAACATCTCTTTAGTACTTCTAAATCCAAACTGCTCAGCTTCCCCACCAAATCCTGTGCTTTCATCTACTCTGTATTTCTGTTGATGGCCCCACCAACCTCTTAGTAACCCAGGATTAAAGCTAGAGTATTATCAGCCCTGTTTTACCCTGTAACAAATTAGTTACAAAGCATAGCATAGATTCTAGAACTGGACTGCGTGGTTCAGTTCCCACCACTGCTGCTTAGCTGTGCAACTTTGAGCAAATTGCTTCACCTCTCTGTACCTTAGTTCCCTCATCTGTTAAGTGAGGTTAACTCATAGGTATTATTAGGATAAAGTGACATATATGTAGAGCCACCTGGAAGCTGTCCCTGGCATGCACTAAGTAACTCAATAAATACAAAACTGGAAGGCTTAAATAGAAAAGCATCAGTCCTCTGCCTCCCACACTCCACTTCCCTACCCTCAGTCCTGTCATTTTGTTTGTCTTTTCTAGTATTTACTTCCATATTTCTAATTAAACAATATCTTTCTGTCGACTGATAAATTATCTCACAATTTTTGTTTAAATCAGTTGTCAACTTTTACATTTTAATAACTGTTTCTACTAATACAAGTTGCATATTAAAATTACATTTCCTTTCTTGTACTGTTTTGTCTTTCCTGTGATAATTACCTTGTCTTTTTCTTGTACTTGGTTTTCTATTTTTTTTTTTTTTCCTAAATGGTGCACTATATCTGTCTAATGCCTAGTAATAACTTTTCCAAGAGCTCAGACCCATCAGATGATCTTCTATCCTGAGGCCTTCCTTCTCCCACATAGCCTCTGTCCTCCTGTACCAATCAGGACAGGGAACAGCTGTCACTCTAAGACTTCCCATGACCATGTTCCTCTTGTTTTCTGGATTGAGTATCTTCTTTTCTCTTAATTATTCCCTCTTTTGCATAGGTGCATCCCTCAGACTCCTAAGAAAGGATACCTGAAATGTTACATTTTCGTGTTTGAAAATATGTTTATTGTATCCATTTGCTCAATTGATAGTTTCTGTATAGAATTCTAGGTTAGAAGTAATTTTTTGGCTGAGTGTGGTGGCTCACGCCTATAATCCTAGCACTGTGGGAGGCTGAGATGGGAGGATTGCTTGAGGCCAGGAGTTTGAGACCAGCCTAAGCAACATAGCAAGACCCTGTCTCCACAGAAAATACAAAAATTGGCGAGGTATGGTGGCACACACCTGTAGTTCCAGCTACTTGGGAAGCTGAGGCAGGAGGATCACTTGAGTCCAAGAGTTTGAGGTTACTGTGAGCTATGATAATGCCACTGCACTCTGGCCTGGATGACAAAGTGAGACCCTGTCTCAAAATAAATTTTAAAAAATTAATTTTTCATCTAGATTTTGAAGGCATTATTTTACTACTTTCTAACATCCATTGAGAAATTAATGCCATTCTGATTCCTGTTCTTTGTAACTTTTTAAAAATTTTTTTTATTTTTTTTTTAGAGACACAGTCTGACTAAATTGCCCAGGCTGGTGTGGAATTCCTGGGCTCAAGTGATCCTCCTGCCTCAGCTTCTCAAGTAGCTGGGACTATAGGCATGAGCCACTGCACCCAGCTCCTTTGTAACTTTATTACTTCTGAAAACTGTTGAAATCTTCTCTTTATTCTGAAATTTCTCTGTGATATACTTTGGTATATGAATCTTTTTTTCATTCATTTTGCTAGATTTTCAATAAACTATTTGAATCTGAAGATTCATGTCCTTCAGTTCTAATAATTTTTTATGTTGATTCTTAGATAATTTTCTCCTCTTGGATTTTGTTTTTTGAGGTGGTGCCACTATTAGCTCACTGTTGGCCCCGTTAGACTGATCCTCTAATTTTCTTACAAGTTTTCTCCTTTCTATGCCGTCTCTATTTTCCCTGAGTTCTTTTTTTCTATTTGTTTGTTTTGACTTATCTGTTTGATACTTTCTTTAAATGTTTATTGGTCCTTTGGTAACTAAGAATGGCATTGGGAAGCTTGTTGGGTACTTGGTGGGCAGGTTGGAGCTTGCTGACTTGTGAGCCTCAGAGGAAGGTGATGAGGACACCACCAGGCTTTTACTTGGGAACCCCTAAATGTCAGTGTATAGAATGAGTTTCCCCTGAGGATTTTTCACTGGAAAAACTAATCGCTATGGCTGTGAGTGTACATTGCTGATGTTCTCAAGATGGGAAAGAAGGTCAAGGGTCTTACAGTTTAGTATGTAGACTTTTGCCTAATTATTCTCTTTTCAGCCCTGTGCCTCACCCCTGCTAAACCAAAGAGCATAACTCCTCTCAGGCAGGGATAGTTTGCATATCTCGAATTATCCCTTTGCGTATAACTGTCTCTGGATACATATTAAGTGGTTCAATTTTATTTATTTATTTATTTATTTTGGGGGAGAAAGGGATAGAGTCTCCATATATTGCACAAGCTGGTCTCAACTTCTGGGCTCAAGTGATCCTCCCGCCTCAGCCTTCCGAGTAGCTGGGCCTATAGGTGCATGCCACTGCACCCAGCTAAAGGATTCTATAGGCACAAGTCACTGAGCCTGGCTCAAGTGGTTCAATTTTTAATATGGCAAAAAGCTGTTAGGAAACTAAACCATTTGATTGATGTGTATACATTGTTTTGATATTATTTTATATATATTGACTTCAGGAACCCTTATTCTGAGAGCATAAAAGAAATGCTAACAACATTTGGAACCGCTACTTATAAGGTGGGACTGAAGGTTCATCCCAATGAAGATGATCCCCGTGTGCCCATAATGTGTTGGGGCAGTTGTGCATACACCATCCAGAGCGTGGGTAAGAGATTTACAGTTGTCCCTCTGTAAGTCAGAAGCATACATTGATATGAATTACATGTAGAATTTTTTTTAAAGGGAATGTTTAACGTGTGCAACGACATGAAGAAATAATAAAAAGACTTAGTATACTAACAAAATACTAGATTAACAGTGTATAAATTAACCACAGCCAACAGAGAAATCATTTTGGTGGTGGTTATAGCTTCTTGTCAGTTGAGGAAATGTGTGTTCATTTTTACTTTTCATCCAAAGGTGATTCTTATGAAATGACTTAAAGATTCTGAAACTTGACAGTATTGTGCTTTCTGGAGAAAGAATTGTCTTTTTTACCTTTTTTGAAATTATGCTAAAATCTACAGAACTTAAAATCTACTATCTTAACCATTTTTAACTTGCAGAAAGAATTTTGAGTGATGAAGATAAACCATTGTTTGGTCCTTTGCCGTGCAGACTGGTAAGTTCTTCGTTTACTCAATTCTTGAAAAGATGGAATGGAAATTAGGTGGTTCTGCTTCTTTTAAATCTTAAAAACCTGAGGTAGTCATTTAGCCCTATGTTCGCTTCTTTCATAGTAAGACCCATTTCCCGTAAGGATATCGAAAAAGTAATGTTTGTGGTTTGATTTTTTTCATTTCTTTCTCTTCTCTTTCTCTTTTTTTTGTTTTTGTGTTTGTTTTTTTTTTAAGAGACAGAGTCTCACCTTGTTGCCCAGACTGGCCTCTAGAGCTTAAGAAATCCTCCCACCTCAGCCTCCCAAGTAGCTGGAACTGTAGGCACATGCCACTGCACCCAGCTCAATTTTTCTTTTAAATAGACTTCAGGAAATAACTATACCTCTCATTTCATCCAGAACTCTTGGTTAAGCACTTGAGAAGAAGGAAAAAAACTAAAAGCAGAGTGTTTGTCCTTAAATTTTTAATGTTGCAATTGGAAATATAAAAAACAAACATTTGACCACTTTTTAAAAGCAACATGTAAATAAATACAAATTTATGTCAAACTAAGTACATTTAATGCCTAGGAAAATGGGGAAGGAGAATACAGTCAAGGCTTGCTAATTTTTACTGTGTAGCTAGTGTCTGTCAGTATCATACACCACCTGCTGTTCAAGCTTTCAATCCTAAAAGTGACTTTGAGAGTAAAATCATCCAATTTTATTCATATAGAATCACCTGGGGAGTTTTTCTAAAATGCCCAGGCCCTACTACAGGTCAGTTAAGTCAGTGTTTCTAGAGATGGGCCCCAGGCATTAATATTTTGTGAAAGCTTCCCAGGAGCCAATATTGAGAACCACTGATCTAAGGACCTAAGAAACAAAAACCAGTATAGAAAATAGTTACATGTGATCACTTATCACCTACTTTGCTGACTTTTTATTGCAAACACCTAGAGGCTCAGGACCCTTTTTTATTGTTTCAGGAATATAGATTCTGTATCATAGGTTCTTGGCTAGGAGTTGTACATTAAAATCCTCCATGGGGCTTTTTAAAAATACAGATACCTGGGCCCCTTCGGACTTAGTGCACTGAATATCTAGCAGTAGGACTTGAATTGTATCTTTATAGTAAATCAGTAGAATGCCAATTCACATCAGTCTTGACTGTGATATTAATATATGACTATCGGATCAGTGTTGACTAGGATATTTTTGGCTGTAATAAATGAGAGTTGATAAGTATGTAGCTATTGGAGTGAACTACATCTAATTTCCTCACTCCACTCTTAAAATTTATGTACGTCTCCTCACTTTTCTCTCCTGTATCAGAGGATAAGGGGCCCCAGGTAAAGCTGGTTTAGACTTTCCCTTATTATCTGGAATTCCTCTCCTCCATCAGGTGTGCCTTCTCTTCCTTCCTTCTCTCCTGGCACTTCCTCTGTGGACAAGTGTGCTCAATTTTCCCTCCTTTTATTCTTGCCCTCAGTGTATCTTCCTTCAATCCTAGTACCCTAGCTTTCCTTCCCTTTTTTGACTAAGCTACTTTAAAGCATATTTAATTTTAATTACCAGATAATCCATGTGGTGTAAATACAGATTTAAAA